CAGCCAGGTGAGCCTGGCTCTGCTCAGGGCACCCAGGTCGGCTCTCATGTCCCAGCCCCGCTCACAGCCCCCGCTCCCACCGCGGCACCCCCGAAATGCTGCCCCAGCCCAGCGGGGCACGAAGGGTTAAATATCTCCTCCTGGGGCGTCAGAGCTCCAACAAAGTGCTCAGATAAGGTGTCCTCCTCCTTTTCGGCCCGAGATACTTGCTCTGGGCTTGGAATGCAGCAGTTAGAGAAGGGGGAAACCGGAGAAAGGAGTTTTTTTGCAAGGCACCCTCTCCTGGGGGAGGCTGCCCCATGAAATGTGCCAGGCTGCCACCTCTGGTTCCTCAAACTCCCAAAGCTGTGTCCCACAGCAAGTCCCGCTGCTGCCCATGGCAAGGGAAAATCCGGGCTGAAAGCCGAACCTGTGTCCCCTTTTCTCCAGGAGCACCCGGCTGGGGCTGTCCCATGCTTGGGGACACTTTGTCCTGGCCGTGGGGATCCCGTGAAGGACTGTCCCTCACGGCCAGCACTGCCTGCGCACCCAGCACCCCCCGACTCCCCAGAAGAAGTTGCTGGAGCCTCCAGGACACCCCCCCCCTTCCCCTCCTCTCCCAGCCTGTCCCTGCGGCCAGATGTGTCTGGGATGGCAGCGTGGAGGAAAGTCCTTTCTCCCAGGGCTTCTCCAAGAATTTGGGGTTTCCTCACTCCCTTTTAACCTCCACAACAGAGCTGGTTCCGACGCCTTTTCCTACCTGACGGGGATCTTCACCCGCAGGTACCGGTCCACGGCAATGGCCAGGAGCGCCAGGATGGAGCTCTCCGTGAGGATGAGGACGGGACAGGCCACCATGAGGCAGGTGTAAAACTCCGTCTGGGGTCCGATGTTGATGATGATGGCCAGGGGGATGACCAGAGCCCCCACGGCCACGTCGGCCACCGCCAGTGAAACGATGAAGCAGAAGGTGGCATCCCGCAGTGCCTGGTTCATCTTCACAGCCCAGATGACCAGGATATTGCCCGGCACGGACACCAAAGCGATGAGCACTTCGATGGAGATGTAGGCAGCCTGGAAGGCTGAGATGGGGTGTGCCATGATGCTCCGGTCCGCCCTGCTCCCGTGGGGTTCCTCGGTCGCCTGCGAGCACACAGGGAGGCAGTGAGAGAGTGGCATCGCTGATCGAGCTGCGAGCGGGATGGAGCCTGGTCGAGGGGGTGGGAAAAACCCTTCTCCCGTCTGTGCCGTCCCCCGGGGCTCCAGCCCCCCCTGCCCCTCCCGAGCTCATCCCGCACCCACCTCCATCCCGCACCCTCCATCCCGCACCCATCATCCCGCACCCACCTGCATCCCGCACCCTCCATCCCTCACCCTCCATCCCTCACCCTCCATCCCTCACCCTCCATCCCTCACCCTCCATCCCGCACCCTCCATCCCGCACCCTCCATCCTTCACCCTCCATCCCTCACCCTCCATCCCTCACCCTCCATCCCGCAGCGCGACCGCTCCCGGCGCTGAAGACGGAACCGGAGCCGCCGGCCAGTCCTGGGAGAGCGGCAGCGCCCCCCGCCCCTGGGGACACCCCGGGGCCTCTGTCGGAGCCCTCGGGGCGAACGGAGCTGCGGCGGGACCCCCGCTGTCCCCCCGCTGTCCCCCCGCTGTGCCCTCGCTGGGTGCCCTCCCTGCCCTGCGCTGCTCCCTGCAGCCGCCGTGCCCCCGCTCCCGGCCCCGACCCCTCTCACCTTGTCTGCAAAGCCAGGGCTCGTTTTGGGGGTCGCTCACCCCCGGAGAGCCGGCGCTGTCCCCCCGCAGGGCGAGGCGGGGCTCATGCTGGGGGCGGCCGGGGGGACCGGGCTGGCCGGGGCTGCGCTCGGTCCCCGGTGCCCGGCACCGCTCGGCTCCCGCAGGCGCTGCCCCGCTCCCCGCCGGAGCCGGAGCATCACATGGTGCCGCCTTCCAGCCTTTAAAGAGCGACTGACCCGATTCGGGGCTCGCCGGCACCGGGAGAGCCGGGGGAGGGGGTGCCGGGGGCCGGGAGGAAGCGGCAGGACCGAGGGGAGCGGAGTCGGTCCCAGCCCCGACGCTGCCAGCACCAGTCGGGCTCCGGTTTTAACGCGAAAACCGGTTTTTGAGGTCGGGTGTGAGCAGAAGATCGGGGCGGGGAGGGAGGGCGGAGGCAGAGCCTGAGCTGCTGCGGGCGAGAAGCCGGCCCGTCCCCGGCACGGGCAGCGCTGCTCGGGGCTGGGCCCCGGGACCCCACGTTAGAACCCAACAGTCGGAGCCCCAAGGAGCTCTGATGCTCACCCGGTCTCTGGCTGGCACCGCCTCACCCAAATCACCGCTGGGTGAGACCTCCGGAGGACTCCTCATCCTCCGAGCTGCACTGCCCGGGCTGGGCAGGGGCTGGGTTCTGTCCGCACACGCTGGGTACACGAGTGAACTGCTGCTGAGACTGGACCGGACCTTCTGAAAGGTTCTAGGAGAAGTTTGAGGGAATACGGTCACCCCCCGGTTCTCCTCCCCGGGCCGGGCAGTGCAGAGAAAATGGGTCTGGGGGCTCGATCTGACTGATGGAGCTGAACCACCCAGTCCCTCCAGGGACCCCGGCTGTGCAGCAGGCACCTGCGAAGCTCAGCTTACATAAATTATCTTACATAAATCACCTCCCAGGAGCGCGGCTGCTTTATCCAAATGCTGCAAGGACCGGGACCTCAGCCGTGGGACAAGGGGACTCTCCCCACTCCCATCTGCACCTTTCTCCCTCCTCTGGTGAGATCTGGGGCTGGAGCTGTCCCCTGCTCTGCTCTGCCTCGGGAGAGCTGTCCCCACTCTTGGATCTGCCCCCCGGGGCTGCCCCTCATCCCTCTCCTCATCAGAACCTGTACACCCCACAGCAGGGATGGGATCAGCTGTGGGACCATCCCAACCCAGGGCTGGTTTTCCATCAGCTGCTGTCTCATGGGGTGCCTGCTCGCCCCCTTGGGCAAGTGGCCAGCAAAGGGCTGGGGGTCCCAGCCTCCTTGGGCTGTTGGGGACTGTGGCATTGTGCCACCTCTGGGCACTGGGCTGTGCCAGCAACAGGGCAAGGTGAGCTTAGTTTGGTCTGAATGATGTGTTTGCTGTGCAGAGAGAAATAACCCGAGGCTCGCAGGCTCCTGTAAACACAGCGCTATTTATGGAGTGTCACATCCAGCAGCATCTCCTCACACCTCCTCCACTGCAGGGAAAAGTGGTGCCCCCCTATGGCTCAGCCCCTAAATCCAGAGCTAGGGCTGGGATGGGGGTGCTGAGGATGGGCTCCTGACGGTGGAAAGGGCATTCCCAGAGAACCCAGAACCCCTCTCCCAGCACCTCCCCAGGGTGGGTGTCCTTGCAATCAACCTCTGGCTGGGAGCAGGGCAGGAAAACCATCAGGTTCCTCAAGGGAGTGCAATGCGGAAGCAAACGCAGGCAGGGCCCGGCCTGATTGTATGCAAATCTCCCAAACAGAGATTAAACCCACTCCTTTTCCTTTATGGATTTGCAGTTTGTTCTCCCTCCTTGGATCCGTGGCCCTGAATGCTCAGTTTTAGCAGCACCCCTAAAGACCCCCATTTTATGCCAAAAACGATCTGCTGACTGTGAACCTGCCAAGGGGGTCCAAGCTCTCTCAGCAGCTCAAGCAAAGTGTCCCAGGGCACAGGCAAAGGCTGCAGGGGTTGGATGGCCAAACTGATCCAGGTGGCTGCACAGAGCCCATTCCTGCTGGACAGGGATCATCTGCTCATTCTCCTGACACCGAGCTGGGGATGTGTCCAGAGAGTGGCAGGGATTCCTTCAAAAGGATCTTCTGGGGAGCATCAAACACTGGGAAAGCTGTTCAGGTCTTGCAGGCTCTTTCTGGGGTTTTTAAGGAGAAAATGTCCTGAGAACTGTAATGGGTGATGGTGCTGTGGATAAATACCCTTGGGACACAGGGAGAGATGGGACGGAGTGGGACAAACAGGGGACATGGTGTAGCTTCGTGCAGCAGCTCCCGTGAGCTGGGGACAGGAGCAGCCTGTGGCCACGGCAGGAGGGGATGTTGGTGTCTGCTGTGATGCCAGCAGGATTCACCCAAGGCTGTGGCGTGCCAGGGCTGGCTGATGAGAGCCCT